CGTTGTTGGTGTTGGATGGAGCCGGGCGAGAACGACGATCCTTGCAATGGATGAGTGAGAACCAAAGCACGAAAGCGATGAAGGTTGCAGCGAGGGTGATGCCAATGCCGGCCCCAATGGTCAAGCCTGAGGGTCCGTTGGCATTGTTAGCGGGTTGGGTGGTTGTCTCCTGCTGGTAAACAGGAGGAGAGGGGGTGGTGGAGTTGGTGAGGGTGGTGTTAGTGAGAGTGGAGTTGTTGTCGCAGGGGACAAGAGTGTAGTTCCCACCCGTGAAGTTGGCCATGCAGGACATGGTGTAGTTTCCGTTGTAGGGACGGGGGATGGGAATGGTGGAGATGTTGGTGGAGTTGAGCGGGTGGGCGATGAATCCGATAGAAGAGTTGGTGATGGGGGAGATGGGCAAGGCCATCAAAGCTGGAAGACCAGCAAGGATGAGGATGAGAATCTGCATTGCAAATCTCATCATGATGATGATTTATAAAAAAAAAAGGGGGGGGGGTTGTGTTTGCTCCTAACCAGTAGGTAGCAAAGATCTCAGCACGGCTTTTGCTCAAGGTGAAGCCGAGTTCAGGTCTTGAGGTGAAGTCGAGGCTGAGAGGTGAGTGAGTGATGTTTTTTTTCCTGTGCATTTTGGCGTCTGCCAATGCATTTTTAATACAATCAACATAAGGAATGTCGTACAAAATTGAAGCGCTGAACAGCGTGAGTGTTTGAACACGAACGTTGTTGTCGTGGAACAACCTGGTCAGACGGAACACCCACAAGATCAATCCTATTGTCTCGGACGGCAAAGTACCTCGGGAAAAGTGGCAGGCCTATGAAAGTTAAGCATAGAACTCTTCTAAACAATGGAGTTGTGTTTGCACCATCCTTGATGCTGGGCATGACGATCATCCCGCATCACAAGCCCTTTGTGGGAATCTTGGAACTCGAGCTCAAACAAACAACCGCGCTGCAAATGAAAGACATCCATCACTCCCAACCCTCGATGTTCAATTCTTGCACGTAATTGGAAGAACTCAGTCGGCTGTTGCGCGGAACCGCTCCTCTGCGCCACCCACTGCCAACAGTGAGCTCATGCAGAGAGGGCTCCTCGCTGCTTTCATCATAGTCCCTGTAGCTTTCGAAGGATCAAAAGGATCAAAAGCGCCATCGCCCCCAAACCGAGGGTGCTCGAATTATTAATGGACTCAGTCGGCTCTCGCGCGGAACCGCCCACCTGCGCCGCCCACTGCAAGCAGTGCGCTAGAGGGCATCGCGCTGCTTTCATCATAGTCCATGTGGAGAAAAGAACAATCCAGAATCCCCTGCGGAACTTGCATCCAACAAGGCGACGAAGACGCGTCCAGTGGGAGATAGCCACCGTGCGACGCGAGCGGCGCCTGAAAGCCCCCTGTAGCTCTCCCCCCCAGATCCCACTGCCAGGCCCCTGGGCACCTGGCGCTGCATGGCCTGGGTACTCGTGTCAAATTTTGGAGCGGGGTTGACATCATACCTTCTCATCAGCTCATAGTGCAGCTGTAAAGCCCCTTGGTGTTCTCAATGACGCAAAGTATTATTAGCGAAGGATCAAAATCCGAGGCCGAGGCCAGTGAGGAAAATCTGCTAGCAGAGAGAAGGGTTGGGGGTGGGCCCCCCCAACCTTTTTGATCCTTATATACCCCAGGATGGTGGAGAACCTGAATTTTGCGTTTTGTGAGTCATACGGGTTTGGGTTCCTGAGCAAAACGCCTCGTCGTGGGCGACCGAGATCGTCTCGAACCTTGATCGGTACCTGTGCGGGCGAATCTATTCCATTTCCATTTCCAGAATGCCTCTAGCTGCTTCCTTGATGCGGTTCTTTCCTCTGGTCGATTGGGGGATGCGGGGTGGTTCAAGGTAGAGGTCACAGCTTCTTTGTTCCAAAAGTCATGACCCGAGAGGCCGAAATTGTCAATTGCGCCAAGGCTATGAGGTTGGCCATGCACAAGAAATGCGGCTCTGATGCACGTCATATCTAGATCACTCCCGTGCTGCGAGGAGGGTATCTTGAAGCAGAATGAATCTACGTTGGGTGGTCAGCAAACTTCGAATGCGCTAGATCGGGGAAAAGGAAAAATGTCCGAAGAACGTACCGCGTTTTGCTTCTTGCAGCTATCTTGATGCAAAATAAAGTTGACGCGGTCGACGAAGGTCCGTGAAGCAAGGTCTAGTAGTGGAGACGAGAAAGGAAGAAGGTGCCGGGAAAATTTCTGGCAGAGCTTGTGCGGAAAGGTGGTTATGGCCAGGTTGGGCAACAAGAGACAAGATCCCCTCGTACCTGCCAAATTGACCCGCATTCACTCTCTCCTCGCCGGTGCTGAAGCGAATTCTGCTTGGGGCCACCCTGGGCGCTGCACCAACGGCATGGTCCAGATCAGACAAAAATGATTGCTTCCAGCCGCCTCTCTTGAAGAGGGCGGCTCACTGGGTGCCATATCGACACATTTGGAAACTTTTGAGCTGATATCTGCGGGATGTACCATAACAAAACCTTGCTAGCAATCCTGCAGAATGTTTAAATACTGATGGGGCGCTCAACTCAGCGCGAACAGCGGTGGCTTCCATCCCTTCCGTAGAGGGAAGGTAAGCCAAAAAGCCCTCCTTGATGCTATTCCGAGAAGTCAAACAGGATCTGTGGTCACCCAGGCAATTCTCCCGGGTAATTTGTCCGTAGTTTCGGAATAAAGCCTATGATAAGTGTACAAGTTTCTTTATATTTCACGAAGTTATAGCTTCCGACTATGCCCCTGAATCGATGTCCTTTGTTGTCCATATATTTGTCCAATGGCTGACCCAACCAACATCACCTGTGCAATTAGATTTTTCACGACACGAAGTGAGAATACGAGCATCGGCCATAAATACCACAACCTGGTAAAAGGAGTCACCCATGGTCCTGCTTGCTGATACGGATGACCAGAACCAACCGGCAAACGACTAATCATCATATCAACCCAACACGAACTCTTCAGATATCTTGTAGATTCCTCAGACTCTAGATTTTAAAAAAAGAGTGTATGCCCGTGCATGCAACAACCATGTACAAAATGCAAACCACCTCTCCCGAACTCAACTCGACTCATTTGCCACCTTTCCCCCTAGTTGCACTGCCAAAACCCATTGACTCCAACCTTGGCACCGTCATCACAGTTGATCGTCTGCTTGACAAACTTGCAGTTGCTGTTGAACTGATGGTTGCGCTCCAGCGACAGACCGTTGCCGCCGCAGCCCTGAAAGGTGAAGGGGCCATTGTTGCCGTCGACGTTGAAGTCGATGCCGCAGGGGCTGCCATTTCCGTTGACGATGGTCGAGAAGCCGGAGCAGATGTTTGGAGTGCCGTTTGTCCTGTGACATTGTCAGTTCTGGGTGTTGGAACACTGAAAAGGGGGGAAAGTACCAGGCGACTTGGGACTGGTCGCCGAAGCGGCTTTGGCGGAGGCCCAAGAAGACGGTGGCGCTGGCGAGGGGGGAGGCGACGAGGGCCGCGATGAAAGCGGAGGTGATGGTGAACTGCATTTTGGCGGTTGGAAGAGGGACTTGGAAAGGGGGAAAGTGAGGTTGGACTGAGTGATGATGGCTTGGATGGTGTTTGTTTAGTATGTCGATGATGATTCTGGGAACGAGCTTGTGAGGTGGGAAAAGATGATCTTATATAGCCCTACAAGGGCAACCTCATAGGTCTCAGGGGGTCCCAACAGTGACTGCCTGCCTGAAGTTTGTGGAGAAGGACCTTGGAACTTTGCGACCGTCGTGTGCATGTTTCCGCGCCTTAGTCCTGGCCTCAGCCTCCACTTCATCCCAAATTCGTTTTCAGGGCTGACATGCTGTAAGTGATTGAAGTTGTCATAAATTTGCTGTAGAGTGGGCCTGAGTAAGGGCTGGTTCGGGTGCCACCCGGGGATCCGACTCGGACCTTACTCTCGCGAGCTCGAAAGCCGAATAGCATCCAAACTTGGAGGGCCAGATGCGTCAAAATCTCGTGTCGCTGGATGGAAACCCGGTAAGCACCGCCTTCCCCTATATTGGCCGTCAGCAACCTGACATAAGGGACAAAGCTGTGTGAATGAACAACTGGACGATCGCCAAACAATGGGAGGCGTTGAAGTACTTGCCTGCACCTGATTGGCTGGCAGCAAACCACTCAAATATCTGTAGGGGGGGATCGGTTTTCTCCACATGGTGTTGTCAGATCGGTAAATCCCTGTAAGGCGCCCCGATTTGCTGAGCCGTCAAGCGCAATCCAACCACAATAGATTGATCCTTACTCTTCTTGGGGAAGCTGCCGACAAAAAGCTTATTTGACAAATCAAGCTTTGAGGCGACCGCCCGACTCCGGGAGGGTGCTTTCCGCCTCAGCAGTCTTCTCGTACTCGGTCAACATGGCACGCTGCTTCGGGGCCACGGCTTCAATGTAGCCGCGCTCGTCCAGGTGTTCATAGTCGTAGTAATCGTCGGTGACATCGGCTGCTCCACAGAGAGCCGCAACCCGCAAGAGATCCCACTGCATCTCGAGTAGATCCCATGCGCCATTCGGCGGATGAATGGCAGACTCCCGTTCCGAAGCCACACTCCGGCTGGCCCCACCTTTCGGCCCCGGCCGGTGGCTGATCTGAGAGGGCCGGTTTTCCACACGACAATCACCGAATGCTCCCACAACCTGATCAGGCCGCTCACGGCGCTTGTATCTTACCACCCCCCACATGCCACATCGTGGGCGCTGCCCAAATCTCTCGATGCGGGCCTCCACACGAGCGGGATCCTCGACATTAGGACCTGATGCCCGTCATCAAGATCCCGCTCAACTGGGCCAAGTCCAAAAACTTAATAAACGTATTGCACAGCTGCCCAGGTATCTTGAATTCGTCACAGCAAGAAAGCAAATAGAGTTGAGGTGTGGTTGTGGGTTTCCGACCTCCTGGGCTCTGGCTCTGGTGATACTTGAGCGCCCACTTCCAACTGCATTCACAACAACAACAAACGGTCGGATGGTGAAATGGTATCGCGTGGTCCTCCTTTCAAAAAGATACAGACCAAGATTGCGGGTTCGAGTCCCGTTTCAATCGTCTCTTTTTGCTGCGGCGTCTCGGTGGTGGAGGTCTTGGTGGTGGAAGTGTTGTTGATGCCGGGATGCTGGCCGGGGGTTCAGGGGCGATTGTGGAGTTGCAAACAGCGAGTCTCCACCCTGATTCAGCTGCTCAGCAATGGGGCCGTGGCTGTGTTCAACCGGTCGGAGAGGCCTCTTTCTGTTTGGCTGCACGTTGGACAAAGTACTTCCTTCAGCCATGCAGGGATTGGCCGGGCCGAGGAGGGGTTGAGGGTGCAGATGGAGATGCGGGTGCTGTGTTTTCGCTGTGGTTCACGTGTGCTTGCGACTGAGACAACCCCAGCTGGTGCCCAGCGATTGTTGCAGCTTTGCATTGCGGTGGAAAAAGACGCACATTGGGCCGACACTTCGCCATTGGTTCGTCATAACCAAGAATGCGCTCCCTCACTGAGGATGCCATCCAATATCAGGGCTCGAATCACCCGTCGAACCCCCATCAAGCCATCATGCATACGCCAGGCCGCACCCCCCAAGATGACATCACCCTAGTTAGACTACCAAGATAAGGGGTGTGATTCAACCCCGCTGCGCGACCTGACCTCCTTGCTCCCCATCGCACAACTCATCGTCCGTGACACTATATTTCCAGACCCCCTGTTTAGAGAGACATAAAGCAGCCGGTCTCCCATTCTTGCACTTCCCAGAAAGTTGCATCTCGCTGCCAAGAACATAACAAAAATGGCTTCCCTCATCGACGCCCTGACGGCCTCGGGCGGCGCCGAGTCCCCAGGTGAGAACCCCTCTTCGCGCTGCCCAAAATCTCGCACTAACCCCATCAGGATTCCTCAATGACTTGATCAAGCAGCTCTGGCCTAATATGTCGGTTGCAATCGCCGACATTGTGAAGGCTAATGTGGAGGGTTTGTTCGAGTCGATGTTGCCGTCGATACTCAAGCAACTCAAGTTCGTGAAGATGAACCTCGGTCCTGTTCCAATTCACGTGCGTACTGCGCCGAGCGTGCTCTCAATACCCTCAGCACCAATTTCGAGTCTCAAAAGAGTTGTTGCTCCTGAGATTTGAGAAGGTCAAGGATGAGAAGTTTTCCCTGATGCTGAGCCCCAATAGGTTTCGAACGTTGACGTCCACCAAACCGAGAACAATGGTATAAAGTTGGACCTGGATCTCGACTGGGACGGCAAGAGCGATATCGAGCTCGACGGGCCTGGCATCCCCAAGATTGTGAGCTACCACTGTGAAGCGTGGTTTCCATCCGTGTGCTAACGCTCTATGACCAGGGTATTGAGCACGTCAAGCTCAGGGGCAGATTTTCAATCCTGCTTTGCCCGCTAATGGACAGATTCCCCTTGGTGAGTAGAAAACATGGCGATGGCTCGCGGCCTCGGTTCATAATGCTCATATTCCCAGGCTGGTGCCGCGCAAGTTGCCTTCGTCAATGTACCTCACCTCGATCTCGACTTCACCGACGCAGCCCACATCGCCAACCTTGGCATTATCGATCGCGCTGTTCGGAGAACGATTTTGGGCATCATGTCTTCCATGATAGTCCTTCCCAACCGCTTCCTCGTCAAGCTTGACACCGCCAACGACTACTTCAAGACGTATCAGCATCCTCTCGGTGTTTTGCGTCTGACCGTCGAGTCCGGCGAGAACTTCGGGGAGGAAAAGGGAGGCAAGAGTTTTCTCAAGCGGCTGGTCCACGATGTCCCCGACTGCTTTGTGAAGGTCAAGCTCTCGGCCGAGCCTGAGTGGCGCACTCAAACAATCACGAACCATCGTCACCCCGAGTGGAACGAGACCCGAGACATGATCGTTTCGGATTACGATCAAATCGTCGAGACCGATGTCCAGGACGCAGATACGGCGACTGGTGACGATGATATCGGCGTGGGAACAATCTCCGTGAAGAACCTCCTGCTTCAGGGTGGACGCCACGAGCTGGCCTTGACTCACAAGGATCAGCCGACGGAGGGAAAGCTGACTATTCGGGGGGAGTTCCACCAGTTCGTTCCTGATGCGGCAAGCTTCACGTCGGGTGAGGCTGGAAGTGACCAGATTGTTGGCTTGATGAGTGTGCTCATTGCCTCTGTGCGCAACCTCAGCGGTCCCCGACAGGATCTCAGACCCTTGGTTCGCGTGCAGTGGGGTGATGCCCCAGCATTGCAGACGGGGATGAAGACCGACACGCCTGGTTTCGATGTTGAGAATCCGGGTTTCGATCAGACGTTCAAGATTCCGATCCAGGCAGGGATGATTCCCGGCCCGCCTGTCAAGATTCTACTGATCAATGGCGCAAAGCCAAAGGCAGAAACTGAAGAGGATCGTGAGAGGTTGTTGGGCTCCGTCGAGGTTTCGCTGGATGACGTGCTTGGCGCGCCAGACTTGGCGGTGCAGAAGGACTTCGACGCTGGAAACGGCGCGACGATCAGAGCCGGCGTTTGGCTGAGAGGAATGAAGCTCGCGGAGTGAGGCTGTGCCGGTTCGGTTTTGAGAACGGGTAGCGTGTGAATTCATTCAATTTCCGAGGTGTTTTCTCTTGTTACCTTTTGTCGGGGGGGAGATTTATTGGTGGTGTGCAACGCCTGAGGAGGCTTGCCCAGGTTTGGTGGGGCTTGACTGTGTTCTCCTTTGCTCCTTCCCTTGCTGCCCACTGCCTGGGCAAGTTCCGCCCAAATCTGAACGCCTCTCCACGATCAGCTGAGTCCAAATATTCCCCTCTTGCAGCGCCAATTCGAAAGGGAGCCTGACCTCTCGCTGTATCGGATTCGAAGTGGCTTACACCGCCCCGTGTCGTCGCGGGATGTTGGGCTGGAAGCCAAGCGGGCCACACCTCGATTACCAAATTCTTTGTGGCTCATTGCCCGCCAGAGGTCTCTGCATGATCCCCCCGCATCACCCGCAGACGATATCTCGTTGCGCGACCTGCCATTGGCAGCCTCGTCATGACCACCGACCCTTCCAACCTCTTCGCGCCCCAAAACTCGCAATCGATATGCAGCCACAGCGTAGCGTCGCCGTCTATTACCAGCGTCCCAGGGCATGCCAGCACGCACGCTATAGCAGCACCATGGCGGGTTGGGGGGGTGTGAGCCGTACTTCGGATGCAGCTCATGGGTGGCTCTTGGAGCTATAAGTGGGGCCACCTTCGACAGAAATGGGCACTCCCCTGGCGATCACATCGTCTGCTCGTTCATCCAGCCTTACAATCATGTGGATCTCGGGGCGTTGGCGTTTAGCCTTCTTTACCGTCGTTTTTGCGTGCGCGGTGAGGGCGGAAGAGCCATTCACCTGGGGACAATGCGAGGCCAAAATCGAAAGTATTCTGGAAAGTGAGAACAAACATCTGAACTCAAGCATCAACCACTACTTCATCACCGACAGGGACAGGCACAGGATCACCAAGCTCAACGGGAATGTGGCAATCTTCGATCCTGCTCGAGATGTGACACCCAGCAGGGGGCAATACGTTGCTCTCACCCTTGAGGGCTGTCAGGAGCTCTGCAACGACCCCATCGCCTGGTACGACACGCCGATGTCTATCGCTCTCGTGAGTTCGTGGATCTTCCCGCTCAACATTCTGTTGAGCCTCCCCTACGAATCTCTCCACGAAGGGAAGTTCCACAGAACGATTATCGCTGTGCTGAACTGGCTTGGCAGTCCGCAGACAGCACTCACCGCAACGGTCTTCAACTTCAGGCAGTTCCGCCAGGCTCATCGTCGCGTATTCCGCGACATTAACACGCACCGTTATCACCTCCGGTGTGCTGCCTACTTCATCCTCTGCAGCCTCAACCAGTTCCACATCGACCACCTCACCCTCAACGGACGCGATGAGCGACCTTCGCCAATGATGGACACCCTGATCTACGGCCTGTTTCGGCCCCTGGCCAACAACCCAGCCCCTGATGTCGAAATCACAGATCAGCTTCTTGTACAGTTGGCCTTCCAGCTGCGCATGTTGCGTCGCCGTGGAGTTATTCCCATGCTCGCAAACTTAGCCATGTTTCTGGTCGCCTTTGTCTTTTCCATCGTTCTAGCATTTAAGGATCTTGGGGGCGATGAAGACGATGGAGAGGATGGAAGGGGTAATTCCACGGCAACGCCCTTCTCGCTCGCATTCGGCCTGCTACTGACATGGCTGCCGCTGCTGGTGGTTTTCACCATCGTGGACAGAAACCCCGTATCATCGGAACGCACGTCGGAACTCATCTCTCGTTGGCTCTTCAACGTCAAGGCCGTCAAAGAATGGGCTGCCCGTACCAACGACATCGCTGACGAGGATAGCGAAGACCAGGAGGTGGCTCGTCTTCCCGAATGCGCAGAGATCGAGTGGTGGAACACAGCGACTGAGATTCCCGAAGAGCTCCAGGTGGAAGGTTTCATTGGTCAGGGTCGGCGGATCCAGTATTGTGGTCTCCCTCACGCGGTGCTCGCTGCCACGGAGACTGCAGACTTTACTACGGCCTCCCCACAGCGGCTGGAAGGGTATGCTGCCGACGTCGCTGAGAGACTACAGGGCGGGAAGCCCATGGCGTGGTTTGTCGTCGCGAGCTTGTCACTGCTACTCGTTTGGACTGCCATTCTGAGCGCTTTTACCGTGTCTTTCATGGTAGGTCAGCCCGACTTGACATGTCCCCTTACCAGCTTCTGGAATACTAACAAACAAAGGCGCCAACGGTAGGACTGGGATGTCGAGCCTTGATGTACCTCATCTTTGGTTTCTTCAGTTCGATTTCTTGGTTCATTCAATTTCGGAAACGTCCGCATCTATGGGTAGTGCGACTGTCGTATCTGGCAAATGCCCTCGCTGTTTTGAGTTTGCTTGTGGTCATCATTTTCCAGGTACGTCAAAAGAGCAAAGACCCTTGTCCCCGACTAACACCGTGCCTCCATACTAGGTCACCGGCCTTGCAAGCAACTGTATGTTACCGCTCTTCCTGTTGGAGTACAGTGACTAAAACCCTACAGGCTGGTGCAAATCGAGTCCGTTTGCTCCGGGC